ATATAGGATACTAGCTCTAATACGCTATAATCTAGGAAACCATGAACCTAATCTTATACCCATACTACACTAAGTACGCCTAGGCAGGAGACTAGACCTTCTTTCGTCACGTAGACGTGAACCTTTCTAAGGCAGCGCAGTTAGGACAAGGGCTTAAGATAATCTAAGGCTTAGTTTCTTTTAATAATAAGGACTAAGACAACTGCACTAAACTTCTAATTAGGTTTAAAGAAGTATAGAAGAATTAGGTAAATTAGATAGATAGAGGATTAAGGAGGAACGAGAGGGCCTATATCCAAGCATAGGAAGATAGGGTGCACTAGCCTAAAGAGCTAAGGGAGAAGTGCCCTACGGTGAAATAGGAGAAGGAGATCTGCTAAAAAGGATAGGCAAGGATCACAAGCCTAGTAATGCCGCATAGATCTACTAGACCCACTACTCGAACGCGGCGTACAGTTCTGCCGTAGTATGTAAAAGTGTAGGATAACATAATAATAATAGAGGTGCTAGAGATAGGGATATATATAGAGATCGCACTAGCCTACCTATAGATAAGTATAGCCCTAAAGACTCTATTAGGGCACCTAGTTAAATATAGTAGAGTCTAATAGCAGTTTCCTAGGGACGTCTAGGCTACCTACCCTACCTAGATCTTAAAGGTAATTATGTGTTAGGTTTAATAGGATAACCCTTTAGTAAAGGCAGAGATCTAGAAGTACCTAATAGGAGATTTAAATAGAGAAAAGATAGGAGCATAGATTAGGAAGAGTTAGGTTAAGATAGTAAAAGAGTTAAAGAAGAATTAGGCTATCTACATTAAGAATAAGAAGCTTGTATTTAGCAAGGACAAGGACGCTAGGGTACTAGACTAATCCTACTTTAGCACAAAGGGAGTACGGCCTACTAAGGCAGGAGAGTAGTAGAGGTATAATAGATAGATTAAGCGATTAGAGACTCTAGATGCTGTTAAAAAGCATCTAGGAGCTATTAAAGAGGAATAGAAGGCAGAGGGATCTAGGCGTCTAGGGCTAGGCTATCTAGGAAGTCTAGCTAGGGCGTGGAGGAGAACTGTCTCGTTAAGTTTGGGTTCAAGATCAGAGACCCTAGATACCCCTACTCCCTTACCTAAAGCTCAACAAGCTAGGAACTAGGGTTATAGACTAGGAGGAGGAGAATAAGGTCTAAGCTTAATAGGGCTAAGCTTAAAGGAGGGGGAGGTTTGTGCCGTGGTAAGGGATGTATAGGAGGAAAACAAGGCTTAGCCTAAAAGGTTAGGCAGATTAAATAGTATAAAGGCATAAAGGATTAGAGGATAGGACAACAATAACTCCTAGGGACTTCACTTTAACTCTACAATATTATCTTTTTACTTATATTTCTGCTTTAAACCCATATCCTCCACCATGGGATCACTACTATTGAACCTTGCCCCTCCTACTTCTCCTCGTTTAAATAGGTTACTCTCCCTAACGGTTTAGTAGGAAAATAGGGCTAGGCTAAAGTTACTAACGCAACAAGAATCTACTAAAAACAAATATAAGTGCTAGTACTATTTAGGAAGGGTATTAGGGATATAGCTACTAAGGAGGAGGAGATAGTCTATAAAAGTAAGAGATAGGAAAGGGGGGAAGTAATATAAGTAAGCAGATACTAACTTATCTAATAATTTTAATTAATATTACTAGTTTATACACCTCCTTTAATATTTATAGAAGCCTACTACCTTAACTAAGCCTATCCTTTTTACTAGGAATAATGCCTAGAGAAAGTAATATTACCCTAGGGTTAACTATGGAAAAAGACGGGCAATAACGTAGCGCAGGCCTGCAAAAGCTTAACTCTCATGACATAAATTACGACTCAACGAGAGGCAGCG